GAGGACAATGAATGTACAAATGTGCTTTACACAATTGATGTGTGTATGGATTGTGATAAGAGTTGTATGAGCCCCTAATAAAACGATTAAAATTTTTTCCCAAACAATAAGGTATGATAATTAATTATCATAACTTTTAGAAATACCTTCCAAATTCATTGTCCCTACTTCCAACCAAAACTAAATTTATTGACATTGAGTCTATTCTGACTCCTGGGGACCCTCTAGGGTGGGGTAGACCTGTGGTGGGGGTTTCTGAGAGCATAACTCTTTATAGGAGTAGAAAGGCTCATCTTTCTCTTGCTCTCTACTTCAAGAGGTATTTATTTAACTAAAATGGTTTAGAAATCTCTCGTTTTTCTCTCCAATTCATCTTTCCATTATCTAGATTTTGAAGAGTCTTTGGAGAATCCATTGACCACAGGTGAGAAGAGTGGAAGTAGGGCGGAGTGCTGTGTAGTCAGGATGGAAATCTCTGAGCCTCGGCTTCAAACCATTGGGCTAATTCAGAATAATTTCTTTATTTTAAATAATTCATAAATTACCATAAGTTTTGTTTTGAATGTTCACACAATCGACATTTAAATTTCCTAAAGAATATTTAATCCATATCTTTAAGTTATGTGTTTTACAGCTAATGGAAACATTTGAAGTTTTAAGCCCTATTTGGCTCACAGAACTTGTCCACCTGTCATTCTGCCTGCGTATATGCAAGTGGCACCGACCATTACAGGACTTCCAAATTGTCATAAGAGCACATTTCACATTTTCTCTGGAATAAATACTCAGTTATGTTTCTAATTATGCTAATAACCTTCCCATAAAAACATATTTTATCTCTGGTTTTCACATTTTCACAAATCATGTTTTGCAACATTAACACATTGTTGTGTGCTGCTCTAGCCCTATGACCATGATGTTGCCACACAAAATTTTCTAATTTCACGAGGCTGGGAGATAAATGCAAACTTCAAAGCTGTTGGATATCTGAGGAAGCACTGACCAATCTACAGCACAAGCCCTGAGGAAACACGGTTATTAACACTCTGACTGAGTCCTCCCTCCTAACACACTGTCTTGGATTGACACTGTTATCACATCTTCCCACAGATTTCTCATGTAAACAAGTGAATTGATAAACAGGAGGCCATACCAGAAGGGGCTCATCAGGGGCGCTGGTGGAAAGCTCAGTAGACGCAGTACGGACACTGCTGAGCCCAGTGAGGGAAATGTTCGAGAGCCTTCTCCGCCTTACTCCACTACAATTATTGGGAATTTTAAAAGCACACCTCTTATGGTAATTCAGACCACATCCTGTAAAGAGAAAATAAAAAAAGGACTTCGGTATAACCATAAGTTAAAGGTTATTTGTGGAATTTGTTATAAATTATTGATTTAAAAAAATACTACTTTCCATTTTTCTGAGGCTAT